TTGAGTTGTATTAAAAATGACTAAACGGTTGGCTTTATCTTTCTTAAGTATGTGTCTCCTGGTGAAGATAACGCACAACAATTTGCTTGCAGTTATTGGCACATTATTCTTAAAAAAGCTTGGCCAAATTTCCTAGTTTAAAAGTACTTTGTTACGTAAGATTTTCTTAAAATAGATATTGCATTCTATGCCAAGAACGACTTTTGATGCATTAAAAGGAAGCTTTTGTCACTTCCATTTGAGATAACCTATAAAAGTGCATTTTTTTATTGTTTTGATTGTTATTACGTAGAATATTGGGTGGTTAAATTTCACTATTTTGTTTGTATATATCCTCAATAATGTACATGTTCGCTATTACGTAAACACAAACCCACCGGATCGTTGTAAATCAATTAACGTCATCATTCGGCATATCTTCAATTTCGTGTGGTATCGGTATACTAATACCGAAATCTGGTTTTTACATGTAACACGTGAATTAATGAAATTGATGAAAATAATACATGTACACGTAATATTAAGAGTGTAAGAGTGCATTTACCTTCATTTGGGACATACAAACTAACACTCGTAGAACCTAAATGTTTGATATATTAAAATCAAATATGAATGTCATTTTGATTGAATATAACAATAAATGTGCAAGTTGAAATTGATATTAGTTTCGAAGTAAAAATTCGACTCGTGTAAATTGCACTTGGGTGGATTTGTTGTTTTTTTACTTATATATTCGTAGAAATGCTTTTTTGCATTATCATCCACTCATCAATTTTTGCATTTCTCAGTTTAACACACTCTTTGTTTTCTTTTTCTGTTTTAGTATTTTCTAAAGAGTTGTAGCACTGAAAATGCAAAGTATTCAGTTTCAACTTCCAATTGTAATCTGTGATAGAGCGGTTAAAGTCAAAAAGTTCCTTGGTAGTTGGTCTGTTTTCTGGAATAAAATTCCCAACACTTTTCGATATATTATTTAGTATCGTAGGTCGTACTCCTTTATAGATGTCTAATACGAGATATATATCATGACTCCGTTCACCAAATGGTCGTTCACCAGTTACAATTTCGTATACAACCATTCCAAAGCTTAAACATCTGCAGCGCTAGTGTATGACTTTTTCATTTAGCACCTCTGAACTCATATAAGGAAAGACGCCACAAATCTTTTTTTTAGATTTTTTTATATTTGTTAGAAAGTAATTTGAGGATGATTAAACATTAATATACAGTCAGACCTCTCTAAATGCACGTCATTTAGCAAGGTGCGTGCAATTAAAAAATAACCAATTATATTACGTCACATGATTTATATATAGCAACCAATTATATTAATGCACATGATCTAAGAAAACTACAAAAAATTTTTGATGCTAACTTGTTGAAAAGAAGCTTTCTGAAGTCTTTTCACCTCCTCATGTAGTCTTAATAATATATGGTCATACTCAAACTTGACAGCATTACTAAGATCTTGTTATGTGAAATATTGTATAATTCAATTTATAGCATTCCATGCTGCCTGATGAGTAATTCTTCTCCACTCTAATGCTATCATCTTCCTTCTCTTGATATACAATTAGATCATAATCTCTAAGTAGTTCTTCGGTATCTCTTTCTCCCGGATATTCGATATATTCTTTAATATCTATCTTATTTGGCAGATAAAGTGCTTCAATACTATCATCTTGATTTTCATCATCATTATCATCAATGATATTAGTTAGAAGAATCTTATTGTCATTGATACTTCACGTCCAGCTTGGATAATAAATCACATGGCAGTAAGGATATTCATTTTATTATTTCCGACTACAGATCAGATTTGTACCTTTTAAGTAATCATTTTACAAAGTAACATTAGTAATAACGTTTAAAAGATATAATGATGCCAGTATCTATAGATTGAATTTGAGATGTTGTGTTTGAAGGAAGCAATTGGATAGTCATATTATGGAGATTTAAATTGCTAACATGAGATGGCGTATTATCCATTAAAAGAATTACTTTGCGCTGGCTATTTTTGCATCAAACTCTTGAAGCAACTGTTGAAACAACAATTCTGTCATTCATGCTTTAGTGCTTGCCCTATAAGTAACATTAAGATTATTGCAATTTACCTTTTAAAGCAATGCAGATTGAGAGACTTTCCAATAACAAATAATTTCATTTTACTGTATCTGATTCATCAGCATTGGCACAAAGTGCCACAGTTTGTCTTTTTTTTCCTTGGAGATGGGTTGTTGCCAAATGTGATATCAGATTCAAGATTAATATAAAATTAAGTTAGAATAGTTTAATATTAATAAATTAAACTGTAATTGTATTCATACCAATAAAATAATCCAGTTTCATTTATATTGTATATATCTCTCAGATCATAGTTTTTCAATACTTCTCTCAACTGAGGAATTGCAGCAGCAGCAGCTTTGTGGTCTGCGGAAGCATCTTCTCTATATTTTTTTATTTTTTCAAGTCCACATCTTTTTTAAATTTCACCAATCAACCATTCGAAGACCCTGTCAGTTATATTCAGTCCTTGTGCAAAATTCTTTGCTTTTTCAACAATAATTGCATCTGTTATCATTACTCGGTTTTGGTTTCATAGGATCCATTCATGCAATATGTTTTCTAACTCTGGATATTGAATGGCTCTTTGTCTTTTTGCAAAGGAATATTATCCTTTTGTTTCATCAAACAGCTGATAGTGCTTGGATGGACATTGAGACTAAATGTTCCTTTTACCCAGTTGACAAGTTCTACATGCTTGTACTGGGGTTCTGGTATTTATATGCAATAGCTGCAACTCGTTGCTCATTATTGAGAGTAGTTTTCGTGTTTTGGAGCACCATATGAAAAATTAATAATTTATTTTAAGTGTTAAAGTGTTAAATTTGATATGTTTTATGTACAGTGTCTCTGATATAAACAAATAACCTTTTTATCCGTTTTCCAGTACGCGTTCAAATTTTTATCACCATTAACTACTTAAACCGGGAGCCAAGCATTATCACATAGTCTTTTGACAAGGATAATTACTTTGTTTGGTTCTGTGTAAAACGATTAGAGAACGGATTGGTAAAAAACCACTGATCATACTTTACTTTTATCTTATGCGATTTTTGATTGGCCGATGTCACATGACATGCATTTATAGAAGAACGAATATATAGATGGGACCAAAAAATAACGTGCATTTACAAAATATAAAACGTGAACTTATCTATAATGCTCATAGTGGGACTGAGCACAATATTGCATTTGAAGAGGTATTGCATTTAGCGAGATGGCATTTAAAGCGGTCTGACTGTACATGCATATGGAATCATATACAGGCAATTCACAAAATTTTGTGATAAATACATAATTCATATACATTCAAACAAAATTTGCTTTATCGTTATGTATATATAATTTCACATAATTTTATAAGCGAGTAAATTTATATCATTTTAGTAAAAGGAGTGAGAAGTTAATAGAATTTTTATGATCACGTAAAAAAGGAGTGAAAAGTTAATTTAAAATAAAGGAGGAAGAAGGATCACGTAAAAAAAGTAAGAAAACAAGGAATAAAAAAATTAGTTTTTCATATTAAATCCAATATTCAAAAATGAAACATCAAAGAACCAGTTCATTAACTCAAAGATTATCCTGAAGGATTTCATGTTGATAATGGTTTTGTTTTTTTGTAACTATTGCAATCATTTGGTAGAATGGGAAACATAAATCAACATTTCGCAAGTAAAGATCAACAAACAATACCGATACAAACTACATGTACATGTACTTTACATGCAGAAAGCAGTAATAAAAAATTTAATCATGAGTGGGGTATTTTGTGTATACAAACTTGATGAGAGTGACAAATCGTTTACCGATTATTTCACAAATCGCATCTGATTATATTTGGTTATCTATATTTAGTTGCGTTGAACGTAGCTTTTCTTTATATAATTCACTTTAGATAGTGATCATCAAAGCTTATCAAGAGAATCACTTAAGCAACTTAATATGAAGAATTGTAATTCAGATGGTTGAGATTTTCTTATAGACATAGCGATAGTAAATGAATAAGATACACGTGTTTGATTTATCGTATATCATATTGTAATAATGAAACTGAGGCAAATTTGGCAACTAATTAAAAATAAATCGAGCACATAATACCACAAAATTGCACAAAATTTATCGTTATCGTTCTCACAATATTGCGCACGCCACACACAAAATTTACCTTACAAAACATTATCGTCCCTGAACAGGTATTCTGTAACCCGATATTGTACATGAATTACACGTAACACAATGACACAAGTTTATTTTAGGTTCAGTTCCCGTTCTACATGCATATTTATTTAAATATATATAGGATTGAAATCTTCTAACGTCAATACATGTATTTGAACCAAGTACATGTACCAGTACAAATAAATTGATTTTTCAAGATAAGAAATGGAATTTCTAAAAAGCACACAAATAATTACAAATACTCTTACACCTATCAGAGTTCCAGTTAAACACATCGGTATAAAAGAAGCCGTTAAATCAAGTTATGATCAGCAAAAGAAAATCCACGCTTTCTCTATTGATTTTTTCAAAGATGAAACTTCACCAGCAAGCACAGTCTTTGCTAAGCCTGTGACTAATCATGGCCTCGCATCAGCAATAATCCAAGCTTACACAAACCATCAACATCTTCGTCTTACTCCGGATGATATCTGGCTGACGATTGCTCAGGGCTTGAGTCGTCATATTCATTATAATGCGCAACGCCTCCGTCATATTTTTGTAAAACATAAGGGAAAAGAAGACATCGTGATGGACGCTCGTGAAATACTTTTTACCAATAATCTCGATTCTCCAATTGTTGGTGATTGGCCAAAAGCCATTACCCTTCTTTCAGATGAAACGGATAAAAAAGTTGAAAAAGTTGACTTGAAAAAGACTATTGAATGTGATTTTACAACTTCTAATTTCACATCCATCGTAGCTAGCCGTATCATCTTACTAGATACTATGAAAGAATATTTCACCTATCAAGCGTTGATAAGTGGCTGTGGAATTCCAAAAGTTACTCTTGATGGCACGCTTGGTGATTGGTTGAATCTTCAGCAAAAAGTTGCAAATTTGCGCAGCTTGGGATTAGATTTAGATTTCTGGTTGGATCACTTGGAACCGGTTATTGCTAAATTTGTAGCCACATATAAAGGTGATGTCGACGAGGCATTTTGGAGCGTTATTACTTCTCAAGTTCCGTATCTTAGTAACTCATTGACGACTGGTTGGGATGGCTGGATCACTGCATTTTTTCCGTATAATCGACATGGATGGAAAATCAGCAAATCTTTAGTTCCTGCAACTTTGCCTGATGGAATGGTAAATGTTCCCTTTACAGCGAAGACTCTTTTCGGCGATAAAAAATTGGAAATTTCAGCAGGCTTCTATGGAGCTAGACAAGATATAATCGAGAATGAAATCGTGGTCTCACCAGTAATTGGATGGTATGTGCATGATCCCTAACATAATACATAGATTTCTTGTTACATATTGAAAGATCATTATGAAACAATGAGTTTTATTCTTTGTAATGCTGTATAAATTTTAACATGTATTCAATTGAAGTTATTGTGACAGATTAAATGAACTTAAATTTAAATGAAATCAAAATTTATCTTATTTTGTGCTGAAAATTTTGAAACATAGTATGCAAGACATTACTTTATCATAAATTATTAGTAAAAAGTAACATATCGAGTATTGTTACCGTTAGCATTAAAGTTTCTCTAATTATGTCCGAGAAACCACGTTATTTCCGAGGTGACTGTTCACTCGTGATCATCTTGGGAAACTCTGCCGGATCAAATGAAGAAAAAATATATATACATGTATAACGATAAATTGGAGATTAAAGAATACCAAAGACAAACGTCCAAATTACCATTTAGAACATTTAGTACGCATTGCAACAATTAGAACATTACCTAACAATAATATTATTTTTTATTATAATGGCAAATAGAACTTTTCGACGACAACTTATTCTTTACTAAATAATTAACATAATAATAGATTCGTTTTTCATATTTTAAATCTATTTCTTCATTTCCCACTCTCTATTTTTAGTCCATATAACAAGGTGGCTTTATAAATTGTCGTAAACCTTCCGGAAGGAATAAAGATTCTATATTTAATTTTGTTGCATTCTTTTGTTAGATAGTCGATATCTTTATCTTCGCAATAAATTCGTATGTGATATTTGAAACTGTCAACGCAGTAATAATCGTTTTCACAATCACTAAATTTACTACAATTATGAGTATTGTGAACTAAACACTCGTCGTAATATTCGATTTCTTGTTAATGGAAACATCTACTGCAGCCATGAGTATTCGATTCCATCATTTTATAAAATGTGTGATGATATCGTTGTGTGATTAACGCACACTGATCTTCGATATACTACATGTATCTAGTAATTTTTTTGAGTTAGAGATTGAGGTGCTGGAAACTTGTACTATAGAAAGTACTGATTCTTAATTATAATTTTATTTAATATGTGATTATTAATATAGAATCTTAGAATTTCTTTTTTTATATATGAATAAGATAAGAATATCAAATAATAATATACTTAAACAAATAAATTCTTTATTTAGTAAATCAATTAGTTATTTCTTTAATTTATTCATTTTAATATATGATAAATAATAAGTAGAATATAATAACAATTCCAAGTTAGATGCTAAATTAATTATATAATTAATTATATAATTAATAATATATTTTCATAGTAATTTATCTAATAATAACTTAAAAAAGATATTAGTAAATTCTTTTATTAATTTGATAACTTTTTTAAAAGTTAATACTTCTTGATATTTTATTTAATAATAATGTAAATTATAAATAACTCAAAATTAAATAAATATTTAATAAATTATTGACAAGATATATAAATTAAATCATA